GACAGAAAGAGAGCTGAGATGACAATCTGTGGCTGAACAGGTGCCCTACTGTAAGCCTTTTCCATCAATAATTTATTTCCCTGTAATTGAAATAAACCTACCTTTGCCTCTTCTTGTTCTAAACTGCTGTTGAGCATCTGAGTCACACTCTCAAATGAAACAGTGAGGGGCAGCATGAAATTCTTAAACTCATTCTCATCTTCACCTACAGGAAAAGAAACAAAAAACAGAACAGGATCCCATCATATTCACACCATTGTTCCAGGAGGGTCAGTCTCTTAAGCTTTCACAATAAAATATCACTGACATCACCGGAACTTTCATCAGCACTACAAGAAGAGAAATCCGACATTTGACACACGTATATTTTTAAATGAGATGTAAATAAATGACAAGTAGTTGGTCGCAAACAACTTGTAACTGAGACTGGCATGTCTCTGCATTTCACACCTTCCTCCTCTTGTTTTTGTTTCCTCTGCTGGTCAGACACCATTCGCTCAGCACCACAGAACAACACTCACCTAAGATATCAAGACTCAACAGTTTGAAAATGTTAGATTTAAGGCTGCAACAGTAAGTCAGACTCTCCCATGCGCGTATTTCATTTAAACCAGAATCTTTTATGATTAAATGCTGTTTTTTCTACCTCCTACATACTCAGCATACAGGATGAAGCTGTCACAGAAATAAATCTGGACTGTGTTGGGGTTACCTGTGCAACACCATCGCCTTGTCTGTTTCAGAGGTGTGAAGTTGGAGCAAATGAAAGAAAATGTTGTGGGAAAAGGCATAAAAGGTTGTCTTCATTAGACTGTTTCGTTGCCCTGTTATAGTGCTGAAAATGCAATTATAAACAACAACACATTTTTTACAAATGGCAATTTGCATGGGAATTGGTACTCATGCTACTTATGTTCAGCTCTTTAATGCAGGTAGTCTTCCTGCCGCATGCACTCATCCTCTCCAGGTCAATTAAGAGTAGAAATTTAATTTATGCTCTTTAAAGAGCTCTGCTATAGGACTCCTCTCACTTCTCTTTTAACTGGCAAATCAAATCTAGGAAAGGATTCAGGGGAAACACTTGTACCCCCTGCTTTGAGCACCTATCAATGGTCAGTGCCCAAGACAGCACCTGCCCTAGACTGCTCCTTGATCCAACACTGGGATCTTTTTCATTCTCTTACCTTCAACAATACCATTTATTCTGAACTATTATTTCCTGGGCAACTGATGGACACAACAGACGTACTATAAGTCAGAACAAAGATCAGTGGAGTCTCCCATGTACCAAATTAGTTGAAAAAAATGTAGAATAAACTTTAAAGTTTTGCTTCTACATTTCATATACCCACCTGCAAAATGGGTCTAATTCCAACCTCTTTTCTCATGGACCAAATAGTTTATCCCAAAACAGAAAACTTCTGTCTTCCCAACAGAAAGCAAAATGTGGACTAACACACAAATCCAGGTAACATCACAGAAAACCAAAATACTCAGTAGTTACTCATTAAGGATGACACATCATCTGAACTGAAAGAGGCAAACTCCTCTGAGAGAATAATTGTGAACCTGCAACTAAAGCTGTCTCATAGCAGTGTATGTATTTACAGTGGAGAGGAAATGGATGTTGCACAGGTCATCTCAGTCACAGCATTTTCCCAGTTCTGAATACTTACTTGGCTTTGTGACCTGAACTGCTTCCTTTCACACAGGGCTTTCATGCCCAGCTTTCTGGAGTTTTTTTATAAAGCAAAGGAAACACTTTCAATAACTTGCTGCTGCTGCTGCGTTCATTGACAACAGCTGATGAATCAGGACCTTCAAATCACAAACTATGCTCAAGAACTTTCTCAAACTAGCAAAGTAACTGATGACTTCTGTACCTTCCATCCTGCCCATGCAGAACAAAGGAAGCTGAGACGCTGTGTCGCATTTCAAACCACTGCTGGCAGCAATAGGATTTGGTGGACTTTGGGAAATGGGACTTTAATCCCATCCATCTTTGACTGTCTCCTCCACAATCTTCTCTCCACTGCTTTCTGCTGACCTGATTCAGCCTTATTTGCCTTTCCTGAGGCCTTTTGTCCCCTCCCTCTTACAGTCGTTCCATAGCATTCATCCAGCTCTCTGTCTCCTTTCCTCAGTCAGTCCCAATGCAGCCCTAGTTTTTGTTCTCCTCACCAACAAGCTTGAGCCTCCTCTTACCCTCCTAGAAGTTAAACAATTACTGTTCATGTTCTTTTCCATCTCTTTATAAACCTCCTGTTAATTACATACCGAATTATTACCTAAAGATTTCTTTCACATTCTCCTATAAGCAGCATCCACATCCAGTGATCACTGCAGTACTAATTAGGAAGGAAAGAACCTATGCTTAACAAATCTACCATGGTTCATCTGCTGTAACTCAAACTACACAAACACATCCTCAATGTCCTATGTTCATTACATCAGGCCCTTGTGTGTGGATTAAAGCAATATTTAAACCTGCTTTCCTTGGAGAGGTTTGGCACTGGGCATGACTACATATACCTGTAAGTACAGGATGCTGACAAATCATGCAGAATAGATCCTGAAGGCATATTCTACAGTTTAGATCTACTGTTTTGAGCAATGAAAAAAGAAGTGATAAGAATTTACTAACCCTTATTTAAGAACTTTTAAACACCCCTTTTACTGGCGTTTTCTGCATTAGTTTTCGTTACTCTGTAATTCACACAACAGAATACTTTGTTTACTTTAGAAATCTCGGACCAGGAGCCAGTCAGACAAAACGGTGCAGTTCTAAATTCCCCTCCCCAAAATTACTACAAAGACAATCTGGGATACAAAGATTTTTAAGTCTCATTATACAACGTTAAAATTATTCAACAGAATCCAAAGCACATTTTAAAGCAAATGATAATTAATATGTTACTGTTTTTCCCACTACAGCCATATTTTGCCAGTCACTTCAGGAGCACGTTGCTTAAGAGGTAAATATTCTCCATGTCCTGCATTTGATTAATCTCCAAGAATATTTCGGCAGCAAACTTTTACTCAGAACAATTCATCAATGAAAATTCATCCCAGTTTTATTCCTTCGTAAATTATTTAGATACATCACATAAAAAGATTTGATATAAACTCTTGAAAAAGCAGGAGAAGACATTTGGTACAATGCTTTTTGGTCTAAAAATACTGTGAGGCACAGTTTGTTAATATCCCTTGATTCACGTACTGCTGCCACTTAATTCTTGTGCAAACAATGTATACTTATAGAAAGCACAATACACTGTGTGCTCTGCTTTTTTTTTTTTTTTTTTAATTTGAATCCCAAAATGCAAATTCAGACTTGTTTGTTGCTCCAGATGTGCTTTTCTGCCAGTTCAATTCCAAATTAACTTCAGGAGGAACAAAAAGGACAACAGCCAACAGACTGACACATGTCTTTTCGAGAAGCTCCACATCAGATCTTGTGGAGATGTAAATCCAGGAGAATCAGAAGGGCCGTTATTACCTTGTAGCCAGTTATAAGTAACATGCCTGCATTTTGTCTGATGTATGTTTACACCACCTGTAACCTGGTGCTGTTTTTAATGCTTACAATCTTGTTCTTACACATTTTTTTTTCACCTACAGGAAACGTCCCTGAATCTGCATGTGCAACCTAGAAAAAGTTATCTACTGCTGCTTATGTTAATATGGCATTAGCCAAGAAAAGACAGGTCCAGGTCACAGCTACCATTCTTTAAGAAAAAGCTGATGACTACAGTTTGCTCTTGTCTCCAACTCAACTATTTTCATCAGTGTTTAGCAGCAGAAAGTACAGGCACCCATTAACATCAAAGGGGATATCAACTGCTATTGACTTACAGCTTTGTGTCAATTTCTCCTGCACGTTGCCAGTTCTTGTGTGAGGATTAGCAATCAGTACAGGAAAGACTTGCTGCATTATTTTTTGAAAGCTCTCGTCAGCAGCCCCATCTTAGAACATCTACAGACGCCTGCCCTCAAAAAAGCATTCTGTAAGGTGGATCCCCAGCTGATACAGGCCCACAGTTCTGATCAGCTCTGGGCCTCTGACCAGAACTGAAGCAGTCTGAGTCATGATGTGCTCGTTATTCACTATCAGCTTCTCTAACACATGGTTTGTTGCAGTGACCATTTTCACAACCTCAACCTCCTCAACCCAGACAAAACAGAAAAAGGAATGCAGATGGAGCTTCACATTTTATTCAGGTGGCAAAAGGCAGTGGCAGGATTCGAAGGGACTGAACGTACCCTTGCATCTAGCTATTAATGTGTGCTCTGAGTTTTATGTGTCTGAACTCTCTAACTTCCAAAGGACAACTCAAGATACAACCCTAAGTGCTGAAGGCTGAACTGCAGAGCTCTGACCAATGCTCTTATTGAACTCACAGTCTTTGTATACTGAGAACTTGCATGAATAAACGAAATAAACAAAACTTATACTTGAAACTGTTCTGGCACAATCAGTACATCTCCTTGAAATTCAAAGCACTTCTTTTGTAAATGTCTCCTATTAGGAAATGCTGTGCAAAAAGAAAAAAACACCCAACTTGCCTTCGTTATTTCTCCAACAGAAGGCAACACATATGCTGCTACTGCTTAATGCCATAAATCTCTCAAGTTGATAGGCAGTGATTTAAATATAAACAAATATTTACTATGCAATTAAACTGCTGTTTAATTGGTTAAATTACCATAAAAATTCATAGCATTACAAATCCTTAACAAGACACCAAGGCATTGCAGGGACACCTGAGGAGGATCTTACCTAAATTTACCATGAGAAGACGAGTGAGAGCAGTACAGAATATTGTCCAGCACCAGAGGTCACTGATGTTGTAATTACCACTGAAGCCCAAGGAAGGGAAATGCTTACTCTGTTAAAACAGAAGTGTATGAAAAGCCATGTGTTCTACAACATCTAATACAGACTCAACATTTCTTAATGTTGTAAGAACTTACTGTGTGATTCTGAAGCACGAATTTCACAGCATCTGTTTTCACAGGTCTTTTTAGGAAACTATCAGCAGCAGGTGTTAAGGAAATACCAGCCTTGCCACATCGCTGCTATGTAATCAGGTTGTACAAACCTGCAGGATTTTTTTAGCGAGAAAAAAGTCCCAACTGAAACAACAACAAATTTAAATGAAGGAGATCTTGAATTTCAACTGAAAATACATCATGGAGATGTTCTTCAGAACATTAAAGACCATAATCTATTATTAATTAAAGCAATTACTTTTCGTGGCATATATTCTAGTCAGAGAAGAGACGAATGAAATGACTCTTATATAATTAAACAGAGATTCTGATAAGAAATGTTAATTTTTTCCCTCAGCCCCAAGTTATCAGCACAATAGAAGCAGCTTTGCAACTGGTTGTGTTGAAGAAGGGCACTGGGCAATGGACTGGCAGCAGCCCTAAGCAGCACTGACCTCACAGCTGCTGAACCACAGAGGCAGTCTTATGAGCCTCATTTGCTTCAGTTACCACAGATAAATGTGTATCTCATACATACTAAGCTATGTTAAACACTAAAACAAAGTATTTTCAAATGTATTAGAACTGAATATAAATTTCTTAGGAGAGTCTCGTGTCTTGTGATGGTGAGACAGCAGGGCAGCACTGTGGCAGGATGGCCGCACGGTGCTGGTCCCTCCATGGCACTCGCAAAGCTCTCCAGCTCTGGACAAAAGCAGCCCCATCTTGGCCTCAGCACATCTGCATTTGCTTGTATGAAAAACGGCTCCCAGGGGGATGCGCTAGGTAACACAAAAGGTAGCCTATTTCGTATGAACACAGAAGCTGATCTTGCAAAGCTTAAGTTGCAGAAGCTCTCACAGGTAAGGAGGTCAAGACTTGTTCCACAGCTTGAATCCTTTGCCAGCAGCATGGATACAAACATCTTTAACAACATGACGACACACTAAATCCTATCTCAAATGATTCAAACATCTGGACTTGGAGGAAGGAGATGACGTTGGCCACCACTGCACTGCAGGCACAGCTTTGTGCTGCAGGTAGAGCTGCCTTCAGGGACGCCTGCACGTGAGAGGAGGGGCAAAGCGATGGCCTACATTTGCTAACTGCTGCTTCTCCTTCTTTTGAAATAAAATCGCTGGATAACTTTCAGCAAGTCACTTAAATCCCAGTGTTTCAGTTCCATGGCGATGTATCCAAGGGCACTAAGGCACTTTTTCCAAAATATCATTAAAAAAAACTGCAAGAAGCAGAGATATGCATCAAAAGCATGAAATAAAAGGACTTACGGGTTTGCACGCTTCACAAGCACTATAAAAATGGGAGTCATTCACTGAATACTATTTATCCTTGGCATTGATTATTTAGGAAATAATAGTATGCAACTGTATAACCTTACAGGAGAGCACATACTTATGTATGTCAAACAGCCATAACTCTTACTGCTGCTCTGTTTTCCTCTCCATGCGCTGCACTCTGCCATTCTTGCACATAATTGGTTGTAGCGTTGGATTACTTTTACAGGAATAAACAATTTCCCTTTTCATTTTAAATGGATTAAATTCTTTTTAAATGGATAAAAGTGTACCAATAGGTTTCATAGCTGCTATTAGAAAATCCCCTAATCTAGTTTTAAGATGATTCTTTGTCAATCTACAGCACTTTCATGTTTTTATATTGCAGAGCTACAGTTTACTTCATTTTTTCCCTGTTAAGAGAGAGCACCTTCTATAGCACTGTAAGGCTAACAAAGACATGGATAAAGAACTGAGAGTCTCTCAGAAATATTTTAACCTGTGCCCCTGTGCAAAGCAAAAATGAAACTGTGAGTATTTTGATACAGAAACGTACAGGGAAAAGTTAATTATTAGAAAGAACTAAATGTGCATGAGGGAGCACTATGGCTTCCAAGACATAAAGGAATGACTAACATTCCATTATGTAAATTAATTCAAAGATATTTCAGGACTGATCAGCTAGGAGGGACATAATGATTTATAATTCAAATAACTGAGCTTTGAAATCAAATTGGGCTAATATATTTCAAAATATGCAAACCTGTAATAATTGTGAAAGTAAAGCAAACCATGACACCAGCTCAAATCATTTGTTGCCTCTGCTGTTAGTAATGCTTTATGTTTTTCCTTAGTTGTTAAATTTTCCTATTGTACAACAGAGTTACAGGAATAACGTTGTGCTTTTAATCACAGACAATCATTCAAAAATAAAAAGAAAAAAGAAGGAAAAAAGGACAGTTAAAAACACCATGAAAAACCCAACGCTAAATAACCCAATTTCAAAGGCTGTCAAGAAGCTGATTGACTTACAGGACAAGTATTGAAATTAAATAAATTATTATTTTAACCTTTCAGGCTAGCCACAGTTTAATCTATACCAAATACCGAAAATTGATCCACTGGATCCAGCATCTGAACAATATCCTGCTTCTTTCACAGCAATACGTACCCAGTGCCGTTTAAAAAAACTAATGTAATGTGAAAAGGCCAAAGTTTGCAATGCCAGGAAGTAGTTATAAACTACTTCATATGTTCGAAATAAAAAGTACTTCAGTATTATTATTAAAAAAAAAAAAAAAACTATTGGTAGAGTTTTTTATAGGAAAAAAATACATATCTTTAAAAGCCAAAATGACCAGTGAAATTGGGTTGTACATCATTTTCTGGGAAAAAAGAAAAACAGCGTCGACAGGTGTAATTTATCATTTTTCTGATTTAATACCAAAGAAATATATTAAAATAATAAAAAGAATCCTGAAATCCTCAAAATTTGTAGTGATAAATAGCCCTCCCTGTCTTTATTGCATTATGCCTACTAACAGAAATATTGCATGGTGGATTTTGCCAGACAAGGACGATTATTTTCCAATAAAAAGTTGCATATTAAATTCCAGCACAAAAGTGGGTGTCTAATACTTTCGAAATCTTTTATGGTTTGCCAGGGAACACAATTTTAACCTTAACTAATACAACATCACGCTGAAGCGAACCGGCATTAAAGCTGTCTTTGTACAACCCCACCCAGCTAAGCAGAACAGCTGCTGCTCTCGGAACTCCTGCTACAAGTATTTCCACTGAAAAATAATTGTATCTGCTTTTGGCATTTGCATTTTGGTTAATTTCTATTTTCCTCGTCCTTAAACGTTTCCAATGAGGCTTAAGATGCGTATTCATGGAGGCAGCGCTGCTTTACATGGTGATGATGCACTGGGGACCGAGCATCTGAAAATGGTCTTGCAAGAGTTAGGAAGTTTCTGCCAAGAAAAATACAATTTCATCACAATTTTATTCTTCAGGAGAGCTTGGGTTATTAAATATCTACTTTTTCATCCTTTCCAGGTCCTGACATTATTATGTCTATTTCATGAGCAGAAACTCATTTACTGCAAATATAATTTGAGTAATTTGAAAACTAAAACTATCCCGACATTTCAGCCTTGGAAAAAGTATCATTTTCATCACTGACCCCCCATCCTTGAGAGTCAGCACGTGAATAAATGCCTCCGAAAGCCTCCATAACCCAGTATGAAACATTAAATGCTTATTGGCTTTAAGAGAAATACGAGGCTGATTATTTCAGCAAGTATACATATAGGCACAAATCCGCAGACACCGTAAGTTAGATGCTCCATGTTAAAATTTTTGGTTACTTTTATGTTTTGAACCCTACTGAAGCAATAAGCGTATCCTATAAAAGAGGAGGGAGCTCATCAGTCTCTTCATAAATCTTATTAATTAAATAAATGTCTCCTCTTCTGTTTTTGTGACATTTTTTAGTAACGTTTGACTTAGTTCCATTAGTCCTTCCCAGTCCTAATTCTGAGAACCCAGAGGCATGCACAGCCACAACATCCTCAGCTGGCTGTTCAATGGTATGCCAAAGAAACAGGAAAGTAAACATCGCGTGATTTTTCTCTAAGCAAAATTAACTTACGGAATGTCATCCTTCTACCGACAAAAACATATTAGAATTCTTCTTATACGATTAGAGTTCTGTAGAGAAATAAAATTATTTTGGTTGTCATATTCTACTTGCCTTCCCCTTTGCTTGCCTACCAATCTTCTCTAGAAAATTACTAAAAAGCTGTTTTTATTTTAAAATAGCAGAGGATTTCCCAGTGGAATGCTTTTATGAGCTCTGATCGTTTATTCCCTGCTGCACACCTTTAAATATTTTGTCACAGCAAAAATAATCATCTTTTATTTTTAATCTTCTTCTCAATCCACCGAAAATTCAAAGAATAATAATTCTTCTCCAACTTACAGTACACAAGTGAATATTAGAACAAGACAGAAAAGGTTTGCAATAGGTAGCCAACAGTGGCTAGCAGCTAATAGATAGTTAACAGTAATCAATGGGGAAAACTTTCACAAACACATCAGAACCCAGACCAAAAAATCCCACACCACTGTTATGATTTTTCCAGTAGAATGACACGGACACAGAGAGGAACTTTGAATCAGGCTTGAAAGATAAGAAGAGCACTGTGCTGCTTACCTTCGTTCACACATCCTCAAAGCAGAACCAGTCCTGTTCCCAACTGCTTACAGAATCAACCCTGCTCTCTATACAGCTGAACTCATCAATGGCATTAACATTAGGATGAGGAATGGGATAGATGGCCATAAGCAACTAGTTGTATTTTTTTTTGTTGTTTTGTTGGTAAGTAGGTGAAAATAAGCATGCCTTCAAAAAAAACAGTAACTCTACATCTGAAAAGATAAACCAAAGCAAAAAAACATTAATATCCTGGATTGTTTTAAAATGAGGCATATGAAGCAACAATCTCCTTAAATTTTTACCTTATTATATGCAAATAAAGTCATACACCAAAAAAGGATATTCAACAGAAAGGTCATTTAGAAACTGGAGAGTTCTTGAAATCACAGGCTCACATCTTCCTCAGTATTTAAGGTTTGTAACACTAGAACAAATTGAAAAAAAAGTGATAACATGATTTCCTCCTTCTGAAAATTGCCACGCAAAAGCTCAGACTAGCACAGCACTGTATTACAAATATATTCCTGTGGTATGCCTCACAATTGTCCATTTAGGAGAGAGAAAATGCTATAACAGCATGCCAAGTGTTTTTCGTTCGTTTGCTTTTCTGAATAAGGTGTTCTACTATTTTTGTAATACCCATATTTAAAATACTCCTATTAAAAAATAAATCTATCAATGTGCCTCTGTCATGTGGCGTAATGAAAAAAACAAAGTGAAGCTTCCCTTACCTGCATTTCTCTCACTTTTCAACACAAAATCCAGACACTTCTGCAGTATTCCTCTGCCTAGTTCTCCACGACCTAAAAACAAATTGCTCTGATTTCCCCTCGACATGTGAGAAACGGAGCATGGACAAAAACCAGAGGGCCAGATGCACTGAGGCACCAGCGCACCCCGCTGCGGTGGAATTCTGCCTTACGGTTCGTGTACTAACCCTGCTCTCCTTTTTTAACTAACACTCTAGATGTACGGTGGATGCTGCAGTTCTCCTAACCGAATCCCTCTGAGACATTGGCCTGTGAAGAGAAGGAATGCCATTTTTCTCAGGTGAGGAGTGGTTACACCAGCAAGCAAGGAGCTGCCATGCGGGCCCTGCCGAGGATCTAACTGGTCCAAGGTCTGATACAGTGCTTCTGTTGTAAAACCCAGCTATCAGGCCCCAGGAAAGATGAACCCCAAATGCACAGATGACAATTTCACACTGACTAGCAGTACATTTTCCAGTACTTCTTTGGGAATCCCTGCCCAGCTGCCTAGCCTACAACAGCTAGCTTGCTCCTTGCTCCCCTCTTTAAAGGCAACTCCTGTGCCCTCCTCCTGTGGGACATCCAGCACTTCCTTTAATTTATCAAAAAGCCAGAAGAAAGTTGAAAACCTCCCTTCCTTCTGAAGGAGAGATGATGTGTAAGAGACTGGCAGTGGAGTGTGCTGATCCTGGACTGACAGGAAGGGACAAGGACGGCCATCACAGCCTCCTGATGCGTAGCCCATAGGGGTACAAGGCAGCATTCCTTGGCTCACAGGCCATGACACCTATTCCTGACCAGGGAAACAAGTTCCTAAGGCGTATCTCAACAGGCAGGTGATGCAAAGTCAGTTAGTTCACGTTTGTATCCCCCAGTTTCCTTGTCTGCAGAATATGCACAATGACTGTGACTTGAACCTGTCACATCTAGAGATGAAGGCTGATGACAAAAGAGGTGCAATCAGCACCAGCCACACAGATGACGAGGCAGCAGCTGGATGTAAAACTGGGAATGAAGAACCTGAATAAGAGAGGTTGAGTGCTTTAAAATCAGCATTGATTTTTGCCATCTTTTACATGTTTACAGGCTAAATCTCTTTTTCAGGAAGTTATAAACTCAGAAACTCAGTAAAAGGCAAATAACAATGCAATTACCAAAGCAGTATTCCTCAATTAATATTTACAAACAAACATCGATTTACTTAATACAATCCCTATGAAGAACTACAAAGGCTCAGGTTACCTTGAAGAAAATGCCCATTCTAGCAAGTTCATAATTCACACTTTATCCCTTCTATGGAGTCCTGGAGATGTTTATAGCTGCATTAAATTCTTAACAAGCATATACCATGCAGTGCAATAAAAATGAATTTGGACTATCCAGATTTGACATCAATACCAAAATAATAAAATGGCTGTTTTGCAAAAGAGCAGAATTTTTTGTCTTTCAGCAGCCAAACATAAGACATTTCAAGAAAACCAAGTCATCACAGGAAGAGCTGGAAGAGAAAATTAAAACTGTATGAAGAAGTCTCTCCAGTGTTTCAGGGCACTCTTTTAAAAAATACCTTCTCATGGTTGTACACTCATGGTTATATTTGGATGCTGAAGGATGGAGTAATAATATAAATTAAAAGAAGCACTCGTGAGTGAACAGTAGCTGAAAAAGTTTGATTATCATCTCAGCACTTCCCTTTTCTGTGCTTGCCTTATCAATATCAGGCAATATGAAAAGCATATAGAATCTAATAGCTAAGAAACAGCTATGAAACACTGTAAGGATCCGGGAATATCTGTTAAGATCCATACAGGAATCCCTAAATACAAAAAGCTGAATACTACCACGTAAGGAAGAGATGCCAAGGAATGAAGGAGGAGAAAAATTTACAGCTCTCAGAGAAATCTGTGCAAGCCAGCAGTTAAACACAAGTGCTGGGGCCCTCATCTCTTTCTCTCTCAAGCAGCTAATTAATCTAACACATAAACCAACAAAACTGAGTCAGAGCAACCAACTGTAACATTTCAAATGAGCCTCAGAAAAGAAGAGCTTCAACAAAAGTAATATCGATGCCAAAGTAACAAAAATGGCTATGGTAATGGGCACTGAACACATCTGAAAGGCAACTACAAGAGAACTGGAAATTAAAAAATGGCGGACTATTTCCAATTGTGGTAACAAGATCCTGGTATCAAAATACTGAATCACACTTATGAAAGTGGAAGAGTGACAGTGAGCCAAGCTGTAAAACTATGAGAATTTAAAAAGACTTAAAATGGAACACCATTAGGAACCCAGAATATTTTCAGCTATTTCCTTCCTTTCCTAGGTTGTCCTTCCTACAGGGGCAAGAACAGAAGCCTGGCTTCTATAAGCTATACCAAAGGAGGTAAAGGCTGCCAGCTTCCACCCCTCAGAACCCCACAGTTTTCTCTGAGACTTCCCCTGTGACCACAGCTGGTTACTAATGCAGTTTCATCAGCACACCAATAACCTCCGCCCTTATGTCTCAAAAATGTAATTTTTAAAAGACTTAATATTTGTTACCCGCAGTGTAGAAAGGGAAAGTGAATACTGATAATATATTCTAATTTACAGCTCTCTGGGAAAAGGGTTCTTTGCATTTTCCCAGTCATTATGACAAATATAGCCATTTCTGGATATGCATTTTGTGACTTTTTTTTTCCCCAACTCATTTTACAGCCCTTAATTTCCTATCCCACCCTCAACTGCATGATTTGGAGAAACATCTCTTCAGACACAAGGTCTGTATCACACACACTAAAAGCAATCACGGTGCACACCGAAGGACAGTCCTTCATAAAAGATGTAGTAGTTCTTAAGGCAGCTGTGGATTGGAAATGATTCTGTTAGATCAAAGAAGTGGAATGTCCAACTTAGAAAAAAAGAACTGAAAAATACGCAAAGTAACTTAAAAAAAAATTAAGTTTGAATGGAAAGTGAGAAAGCATAAAGTCAGCTCAGAATAGGAAGCACTGAAGAGTGATTACATAGTGCACAAAGCAGGGAAATTCATTTGGTCATATGGATAGTGGGTACCTTTTCCATTTATCACTGTGTGCCAAGGTGCTCAAATATTGCTTACAGACCATTTGCAAATGCCCAAAGAACTCATTCATCCTCTTTCCAGGAAGCCTTGAACCCCTTTGCTGAAATGTAATGGTCAAGCACGTTACCACAATACATCTGAGGAATGGCAGAACACCACAGCTAGTGCACATGCGTAGATCACTGCACCTCACATACACAGCAGGTTGGACTGAGTTGCAAAAGATACACTGCAACCCAGCCAGATGAGATAACTGCTGTAAATCAGCAAGTTTGGGGTTTATTTTTTAAAACAATTAGAGCACAGAGAGTGAAAACACGAGCTTATGGAAAGATGGAATGAAATGGTAAGCCTGAACCGTGCACATTCAGAAATAATCTTAGTCTCAAGCATAATACAGATATACTTTTATACTTTTTGTAAGTAACAATAAAAGCTCTCTGTGGCTCAGTGGCAGTGATTGGATATATTCTTTTCATTAGAGCTGGACAAAGGCGAATATTTTTAAAAAAAAGGCACATACTGCTGTGAATAGGAGTGCCAAGATTTAGTTTGCTGTGATTCATGGAGCATTCAGGAAAATGTAAATTGAGACCTTTTGTACCTAACCAGTATTTAAACACCATGACACAGAAGAATCTATTCACATGGATGCATACGTGCATCCTCCACAGCAAAATTATTACAGCAGTTACTTTAAAGGAAATGATACCATCCAACAGCAGTGCTGGGATATGCATTCTGAAGGAATTCATGTTTTGGTTATTTAATCACGCCCAACATATCAAACATCAGTGTGAACATTCGTTTTGAGTTACTTCCACATGTGTTTGGTGTAATTGAAAGGAACAGTAAGAGTCTACCAAAGAATTAGTGATGAAAAGGAAGGGTGCCTGCCACAAGGGGAAGATGGAACTAAAACTCTCACAGTCTAAATACTTCCCCGCCTCTTACCTACACAAGGAAGGATCAAGGCAGGCAAAGCGCTACTGCTCAAAAGCAGTCACAATTAATTGTGAAGGAAACGACTGCTGTCACTTCTGTGTACAGTGTGTCACCCCTTGCCTCAAGAGTACCAGCCTTGATCCACTTCCAGCAGCCCAAGAAGCACAAGAAAACGAGACGTGCCTTTTTTGGGAGGAAGTGGGAGTAGCAAGGATAGAGAAATCAATACAGATGAAGAACAGCCTGTGGCTGAGAAAACAAGTATCCTCAGGCAATGGACTAAGCAGGAGAAAGCTTAAGGACACAGACTGGGAGCTTTAGTCATGGTGACCTCCAGATCTCATTGTCCCCTGCAGTCCTACTAATCCCTCAAAAGCCCACTGCCCCCTTGCCCATCTTCACCTTCACCCAACTCCTCCCAACTTAACCCTCCTTCAACCTGCTCTACAGTTGCTACAAAACCGAGCTTTGCTGAACGTGCTTGAGAAGGAGTAAGATGCCCTGAGTATTATAAAAAATCGTTCTGATGGCAGTATGTTTCCAGTTGGCCTTTCTCCTGCCACACACAACCTTTTACAGTGATTGTTAAAGCTAGCAAAATGCAACCTTTAAACCATAAATTGAGCACTGGTTTCTGCAGGTACTAGCTGCTACAAGAAATAGCACCTTTAGTTGTTTTCTCTTACTGACTGAACTAACTGACTTGATGAGGTTTCAGGAGAATGTTTTATTAAGAGCATATTTTAAGAGAAAGAGGTGAATGGTCTCACATTTGTGTATCCTGCCCACTGCTCTTTGAATGTACTAACAAATCATCTAAAATGCCATACTAGATTGGCCCATGAGACCCTACTCGTGTGGTTATGTACGGTACGTTTTGGTTTCACACCCAGATTTTCCCATCAACATGCTACCACTGGGGAGAAGCTAATTTATTTTAATTAGCACAAACATGAGTTTGTTTGGACAGCAGCTTCACAACCAGCTCTTGAAGATACTGACTGAAACATTCAATTCAAGCTGGAGCAGCCACTCTGTAAATGAAAAAGACCTTCACACTAGTCAATGAACAATTCCTTCACTGCATGCTTTGTGAAAAATACAGTAAGCCACAGAGTAAGAGAAAATAACACTGTGTGTAATCTATAAACAGCACTGGTTTTTGCCTTTTGTTTATCTTGTTTTCTTTTAAAATCTTCCACGTAACATTAAAACCCTAACTATCTTATTTCCTGGATTTACAATGCTTCTGTAAAAGCAGCCACATCGAAGCTACACACAGGTATTGTTTATCAGACTTGTTAAATGATATTCTGTTATTTCCTCAGTTAGCAAATCTAACGCAGAGTTCCTTGTAATGGCATCAAGAAGAAGAAAAAAGAAACAAACCGGTGCATCTCATCTCCATAGGAGAGCCCTCCTTCCCCCTTTTCCCTCGTGTGTTTAAGTTTCACCTTACCTTGAAACAACAAAAAGAAGCCTGGCTGTGTAATTCCATGACACGAAAAGTGCACACAGAAAGTATCAATATTCCTCCATTCATCACTGGATAAACACCAAGGTCTGATGGGTACTGCTGTTACCACATGGCAGGATGCAAAACTCAGCTCTGATTTAGAGCAAGCAAAACATTTATGCTTTGTTTTCTGTGGAAAAGTCACATTAGAAAAATGATCCTGTCCCAGCTGTGACTGGTTCTGAAGGTTGATGTCTGTGGTAGCAAAAGACAAGTCATTTTCTGTGCTGTCCAAACAGGTCATGGTTAGCCTGGGAACAGCAACAGAGACCCTTCCTCAAAACATCCAAGTCTACTGAAAGTTTTTAACAGCCATACAGACCAGCTTTAGAAGACACTAAGTTAATACCAGGATGCAACATGTTCCTCACTACAGAACAGAGCTGAGGTACTTCTTCATTTTTCCAGGCATGCACAGAACTCACTGTCTCTTTAAGTCTCAGATTTTTAGTGGATATTCATCCCTGTTTGGAGAGACCATTTTGTTTTGTTTCAAGAGAAAAAATGATTTAATTAAACTCTCTTTGAATCAAGAGGAACTATCACTAAGGACCTCAGGAAGGAAAGACAAAAATCCTGGTGGTTTTGCTAGGATCCATGGAAGGGGACAGTAGTAGGTGCATGAGACAGAGAGTAATTTTCTAGGATTAATTCTAAGAAAAGGCACTGCAGCGCTTGTCAGCACAAATAACACATCATCTTAATCTGCCAAATGCCAGAGATGAGAATGGCTGACAATGATACTCCTTGTTTCCTTCAGTATGAGTCCTTAAAATTGTTCTCTGAGGATTCATACTTCTGAGAGTACATTTTGCCAGATATTAACAAAAAGCAAAGTACAGGAGCCTCCCCAGCACAAAGAAAGATTTGTTTAACTTGGTGAACAATCTATTCTGAGTTATTTGAAGCTTTACAAGTAATTCTATCAGCATCTGAGGGTGCAAGCATGGAAGAGGGGAAGGGTGGGATATGCTTATGCTAGAACTGTCACTGAACAAGAGTCTACGAAATCTCAGCTTTCTCACTTTAAGCCATTTCTAGAATGCCTGATGTAGGCATTCAGGAGGGCATATTTATATGAAAGTGTTTATGTAGAGACTTGAAGCACTTTCAGACAGTAGGTTATGGGTGTTTTTAATATTATCCTTTAAATACTTATAATTTACAGAAGACATTTTTCTAGCAAAGGGCAGGCTTAATGGAGTAGAATAAAACATGGATTTTACGTCAGACAAAACAAAATACATACAGAATAGAACCCAAGCACAAACTCACATCTTTGTCATAAATGTTTCCAGAACATGGCTGTCATCTGTTATTCCTCAGACTTCTGACATGCGGGAATACACCTAGAAATAAACATGTACACAGAAACATGGTATAGATGTTATGGATGTCACATGTTACAGATGTTTGTTTGTAAACGTTTATCCTACACTCTTTCCCAATTTTGACGTTTCAGGAGAAAAGTACAGGCACAAATGCTGCCAATCCAACCTAAGTAAAGCACTTCTGTGAGATGAAGTGCACACTCCAAAACGATGCTTTGTGAATTTGGAGCTGAAAGGCTTTTACTTGCCCTTGTATTCATCTCTCCCCACAAAGGAGATGTAAATTTTCCAAATTAAACTCACTTTATGGTTCACAGAACAAATCAGTCTCTTTCAAAAGAGGGTTTCACTGCAAGAGCTGCAAAGAGACGGAGAAATATTGCCTTTTTGGTCACTGGGCTGCAGTTCAGCATTGGCCTTCATCTTCTATCTTCATAGTTGCACTGTCAGTCACAAAATCAGGAACTCAGGTACTGTTTGGGCATCCAGCTTTGTGCTCTCCTCCTTTGGGAGCCAAATAACTTCAGTTGTGTAATCTTTCCCTTTCCATCAGATCCAAGTCACGTTACCAGCCAAGCTTTCCCAGCACCCCACCTACTAGGTCAAGTTATCTTACTGCTGTTACAATGCTTTAAACAAATAGAAAGGGCAAACCAACTGCATTTTTTAGTTACTGTGTAGTCTTCGTAAAAATTTCTAGTAGTTTTGTAGCCAAAAATCTAGCTTGGATAAAAACATTTATCTGGATCAACTTGTTAAAGAAGGGAGAGGTACTCCATAACTGCCTCACAGCGTCCTGTAACTCGCTTTAGCCTGAGCACAAGTAGCTCTGCTATTTGCTTACAGCTAGGCATTTCATTTCAGGCATTTTAATCTTGAGCGAAACTAAACCAAGCACGATTGGTTACACGTAATTCTTCCATATTACGTGATCAAGTCAAGGATCACCAAGGTCTGAAATGCACCAACCCCAGCAGATGCAGTGGCAGGTTACCCAGCAGTGAAAGCCTGGTGCCATCTAGCTGTCAGTTCTGTTTGCTGACATTATATATTCCACTCTAACTCGGCCAACTCCTGTTCCCGTATTTCAATTTCCTCATCCTGTGTTCCTTTCTGCTCGTGAAGCAAACCCACGACTTTTATTAAGAACCAAAGCAGCACTATTCTACCGCTAGGGAAGTTAATAAAAAATTTGTGCACCAAAAACTTCAGCTTAAATCAGAGCATAATAAAAGCGCGAGCAAATAAATCTGCTGCTGTAGCCAGAAAGTGGAGCAAGATCAAGGATAATTTACTTTTCTTGTAAGTTAAAATATCACCTTTCATAATGGTATGAATGTAATTTGTGAGGAATTGAAGCACAAAAGAAAACAAGGAATATAAAAAACCAGGGAATATGCTGACTTTCAAACTCTATGAAATATCATATTCACGTCGTAAAAGTGAAGCTGTAGTTTATAGCAAAACATAGCTGCAATAATAACACGTGCAATGATAAAAATCCTGTATTCTGATGCATAAAAGCATCTCTCTCAACATAGCGCGCTGTTGAAACGCTCCAGCACTCTCAGTTTGAGCTAAACCTAAATATGCGTTTTAAGTGTGAGCTCAACCTAAGTGTGCTTGTTAGCTGGAGAGGAAACCGGTCCAAGAACGGAGGCAGGGTGGGCGCAGGGGGACGGGCAGCGCTGCGCCGCCTCTGCCCCGCTGCCATCCGGCGGTGCCACATCACGGTTTAACACATAAATAGCAAACCAGCAGCCCGCGCTGACAAAGAGCAGTGCTTTAATCCACAATTATCCTTGTAACTCTTACTACTCCTTTTATCATCCATTAGCTTTGATTCCCATTATCCCATCAAGAAGTGTGTCAACGCTTTTGTCCCTGGGGATTTCCCTCCACCGCCAGGATCTGACAGCCAAGCCCGAGTGCTAAGCAGGATCATTACCTCTTAAATCCACTTATCTGATCCACTGAATAGTAAATTGAAAAGCTCATTAACAGCAACAATCTGATTTGTTTTCACATGTGACAGGGTCATTTCAAGTCAGCATGAATACAGTGCTTGTAATAAAAGCTACTCCTCGCCCGGTAACGTGACAAATCGTAAGCTAAAATAAATGTGATATTTTAAACACATTCTTCAAGATCATTTTCAAACCGAAACACACTCTTAGGATGTAAAAATAGAAGAGCAAACAACCCCCAGCCGCAGCACTGAAACGCCCTCAGACTTTTAAGCGCTATAAAAAATTAATGATAAAGCATTTTGGACGTATAATAATAAAATACTCTTCAGCAACAAAGGCTGCGCTACGTATTCAAAAGGAGAAAAACACTGTTGAAAGGGGGGTCATAAAAGGATGTGAATTGCATGTGGAAGTGATCTCATCTCAAGCTCTCTGCATCACGAGATGCCCGTCCATCCCCGTGCAGCAAGGAGAGCAGGGCTCGTGGCTGGAGGCCCCTCTGGAGACCCCGAGCAAGGAGCAGGATCATTAACTCACAGTAGGAAACAACCAGGTGAATCCTTTACACAATTATTCCCCAGTCCTTCCAGCTGTGGGATTTGCCAACGTTATGCAGTCGTGCTGTGATGCTGCCACATAACGTAAGCCTCTTAATAACGACATATCAGATCACTATTATCATCTCATTTTACATCAGTTATGAATGAATGTGAAAAATCCACAGGAGTGCTAACGTTAGGCTATAACGTTAGATGAGCTTCACAGGCACAAGTTCATAATGAAGGTCCTGAAAGCAGGGGCAGGCTCATACCACCACTTCAACCAGTGACAGAGTACAGGTCGCAATACTCACAGGTGACTGCAGTCATCATGACACCCAATAAAAAGAAGAAATCAGAAAAATACCATTAATAATAACAATTTCAAACATATCAATGAATCACAGGCACATCAAGGTTGGAAAAGACCTTTAAGGTCAACAAGTCCAGCCATCAACCTGACCTATCAAGTCCCACCACTTCACCACGTTGCCCAGTACCACGCTCACGTCTCTGCCACACCTGGGATGGGGACTCCAACTCCTTGGGCAGCCTGTTTCAATGCCTGACGTCTCTTTCTGCAATAAATTCTTCCCCATGTCCAATCTGGACCTCCCCTGGTGCAACTCAAGGTTGTTTTACCCAGGTGATAGGACATGGAGAAGAGACAAACTCCTCCACTGTGCAACCTCCATCAGGTAGCTCCATGAAGTCTGCCCTCAGACTCCTCCAGACTGAGCAGCTCAACCCTTCAGCTGCTCCTGTTAACTCTTGCTTTCCAGCCCCTTCATAGTTTTGCTGCTCTTTGCAGCACACACTCCAGCAACTCCAATAGCTTTCCTTCTGTGAAGGGCCCCAAACTGGCCACAATACTTCCAGTGCGGCAGGAGACTGGCTCAGGCTGTGTGTGCCATCCCTAGAGCTGCCCAAGACCAGGCTGCCATCCATCCAGCACCTCGCAGCCCCATGCAGTGGGTGGCACCCAGTCCATGTCAGGGGATTGGGAGCAGGTGAGCTTTATGCTCTCAACCCAAGCCATTCTATGACTCTTTCTATGAAAGTAACTTCCCTGGTTCTCCAGGCAGTAGAAATGTTTAGGCAACAGACCCAGGGACCCTTCTTTTTGGCCCCATTCCTACAGGTAAAGCCACTGTGTGCAATAAGGATGCAGGAGAAGGCAGCTCTGGTGCTGCTCCATCTTTTACCACCCGGCAGCCTTACGGGTTATTCAAATGACAAAACTCTGCACTTCCAAACTACTCAAGCTCCAGTTGCTACATTTCAAAAAGAAAGAAGGAACACACTTGTGGAAGCCGTGTTTTATAAAGCAAAGCACCTGCACGTAAATGCAACCTAAAGAAACAGAAAAAAATGTGGTAACTGCGCTGAAGCTGTATTTCCCTGACTCCTCTGCTCTTTGGCCCCAGATAAGTTTAACTTCGCTTTGTCTTTTGAGGTCTTCTCTTTTTGCTGCTATCATTATAACTCTGAAGAAGCTAATTATGTCAATTCTTAAATGTGAAGCAGATTACAGAACTGGGAAGCTCAGAATATGAGTTCCTAAAGGTTGTATGGCTATATAATGACAGTCACAGAAATTCAATAACGGCACTGTATGGAATGTACTCAAACACACCCCATGAAACAAATTAAAACAGAGCAATGAATCTCTCATACTGTGCAAATAAGAAAACACAAGAAAATGTTGGTTTCTATATGTTTCATAAGGGCTATTATAATGAATTAAGATTTTGGATAATGAATCTTCAGAAAATTACAGGAAAGTTATTACCCGTAGGCAGAACATAAATGCTTAAGATATTACAACTTCCTTGAAGCTCTCCAGGCCTTGCTGCAGAGAACTATCACTGCGACATTAAAGTATTTTGTCATGTATACTGAGGGAAGCAGATCTTAACTGCATTTACTCCGAACTGACAGAAGCTGTGCTGCCTCTGAGCCCCAAGCAGCTGTGCTGGGAGCCTCCCTGCCCACAGCCTTCCCCTGCCCAGCAGCTGCTCTGTGCTTGGGCTGCTGGCCCACCTCCCTGCCCAGCACCTCTGTCCGTAACCTCTGAACTCCACACTAATCAACATCTGCTTCCCGGGCATAATTGTCACTGATTTCTAAATAAATATCAGGTATTTTAAGCTGCAGCGCTCAGCAGCTCCGCTACACGCAGTGCAGTACTTTGATGCCAAAGACCAATTCACAAAAAACTGAACCCATTTCCCTGATTTGCAGACCAGGGTGCCAGATCAATCACTTACGCCTCCCAGCCAAACTTAGGGCTTAAAAAGCCCCACCACAACCAGGGAGGAAAGAGGGGAAACCCTGGTCTCCCCTAAGACCTCCATTCCTGACCAGCTGTCTTATAAGGTAAGATCTCAAAACACTTGTAACTCTGAGTCTAATCTGTTGTTATACAATTAGCTCCCGTAAAAAACAAACGCACAAAAAAAGCAAAAACGTAAGAAATTGCCCCAAATAATTTCAGATGGATCTTTGA